GTTGTCTTAGGCCGGCCTACCGCCCAATTGGAGCGCGTGGCAAGATGTGACCGCCCGGCGATCGATATTGCTATGCGCACATCTCGCCACGCGCTTGAATTGGGCGGTAGGCCGGCCTAAGACAACGATTTTTAATAATTAATTACTCGTTAACTATTACGAAAATTGCAAAATGGTACAGGACTTTTCCATTCATCTCGATCCGTTCTACCTTCTCAAAAATTTTGTCGGATATGGAAAGACTCACCCTGTATACGTAGATAAAATTAGTTGTTTACTGGATACAAGAAATACGTAATAGATACAGAGTGTGTCAATATATAGTTAAAATACATTTTTTTTAGGAACTCCATTTCTTTACCACAAATGAAATTTACAGTGACGATACTGCGGCTGCAAATATCATCTTTCTTCTACAGCCGTAAATTAACACGTTCATCGTTTAATTTTTTTTTTATATTTGAAATCAACAAATCATTTTTTGTTATTATAAACCGTGTTCACTTACATTTCGTGATCGGGAAGGACCATCGGATAGATTTGTATCGTATCGATAAGATCGGTATTGTCGCAGATCAACCTGGCAAGCTTCGTCTTTCGAATCTCGTTCAGTTGTTCTAGAAAAGTGAAAGCGCGATTTTAGAAGGTACCGCTTCGTTACATATCGAATATCGCGATTGTCCTTGGCTCACGCGGCTCCTACCGGGAAGAGAATTCGAAAGGGTCTTACCGTGAGTGAAGGACGACGGCTGGTTCGGTAGCTCGTACCAGAATCTGTCGCCACGACGCGAATAACTGAACTGCGTGGCAATCAGACAGGCGAAGGTTGGCCCGAGCATGCTACCCGGAAGCGGTCTTTCGGATACGCCGCCCGACCATAAATCGACGTCCGCGGGATGTCTAAAAAGGAGCGCGGCCGAGATGAAGACGTTATTTTCGAGTACGCTATTTTTAGCACGATTGGTCCATTGACTGAATAATGAGATGCAAAACTTGACCGATCGGCCTTTCGGTACCTCCGAAGGCTCCGCTACCGGCATTCACAGACGTGTAATACTCACTCGAAAATAGTGCTGTATCGCCTGACGGTTTCATTCGGCATGGAACCAAACAATTCATCGAAGGTGTTCGCTTCGGGAAGGCCGCAATACTTTCTAAAATTATCAAATCACAAAGTTACATACGTGTGCTGTTAAAAGTTTATTCTCGGTGTACTGGGATGTTTTCTGATTGCTACAGAAAATTCGTTCTCTTAATAAGACAACTGATAAACCTCTTCGTTAATTTTATCATCAAATTATTTCTGTTCATCCCTCCGTACCGTTTCATTTATCTAGACTCGCTGTATACTTGCTACACAGAAAATTATTATTGCGAAACACAGATATCGCCCTAACTGCAGTTAACTAAGCAAGTTTGTACAAGAACATCTTGGCTATAATTCACCTGAACTCCATATAACTTGGAATACCAAACTCGCGGCCGCGTTGCATGTTAAAGGATACCAAATCCAGCCCGAATTTTGCCCCCACCTTTTTGAAGAGATGATTCGTCACCTGCAAAGGATAAATACCGTGTAGTACAGCATAATTGTACATTCCATTTGTGCTAATCGTTAATTTACTTCTTGCGTTATGGAATCGTCCATAGCCTGAGCGACTTGGTTCATCAAGCCCATGAAGTATTCGTCGAATACACCGGCCCGATATAAATCGTAAGGGCGTCTTATCAAATCTGAGAGTCTCTTTGAAGCTGTAAAGATAAACAAAGATAATTTACAATTAGATTTGAAGGGAGGAATAATGTAAAATTCGATACTCTAACGACAAGTTGATTAAAGCATCTCGTTATTTATAATAAATTCTAATAATTTAAATAAATTCTAAATTTTTTGATAATCAAGTTTCAAGTCAACACAAATTTCAAAGGCTATTTAGTGATTAATAAAATTTTATTTCTATTTTCTCTTAATATATAAGAGAGTGTTGGTTTAGACTCAATAAAGATTTCGAAGTTATTAGAGAATTTATAATTAAGAGAAAAACGATTTCTAATATAATCTGCTTATGCAATGTAACCTTGTGCAATTATTATGTATTGTCGCTTACCAATAAATTTGTGAGCTTTGCTCCATCGTTCCACAGCCGTGGGTAATAATGAGTGGCCGAATCTAAAGGCAGCTGAGGCGAAAGCGTCTATTACGCCTGGATTTATGCTTGGGTCGTATCCATCCCAGTAATTCTGTGAAAAATTGTTGTCTTAACGTCAACGTGGTTATTACCATTTATTAAAGGCTGTCGCACAGTAAACACGAGATATGTCATTAAATCTCAGCAATTACAACACGCTCATGGCGCGTATTATGGAATTTTTCAGTATAAATTCCGATCGGAATTATTCTGTTCGCCCTAGAAAACACAATAGAAAATAACAGAACAATTCCGATCGGAATCCACTCCGAAAAATTTCGCAATACGTCAATTGTTAGGTTTTTCTGCGTTTGAAAGACAAACTCGCTTACTGAGGATCCTTTAAAGTTATTTTCAATTGCACAGTGACAAATTTACGCGTAAATATTCACGCATTTTGTTTCGATTTATTTCAGTGTCATCGGTTCAACTCACTTCCTTCTCGAGGAGAAGTCCGAATTTCTCCATGACATCTTTGCCGAGTAATATCGGGAGGAACTCGTTATAAGTGACGTGTTGGATTTCCGCGATGACGATGCGCCTAGCTTCCTGGAAGAGAATCTCATCGTCCCAGTGCGGATTCACGATAGCTAACGCTTTGGCAAGCCGGTTATGTTCTCGCGCCATCAAGGTGTGCATGCAGGTAAGTACCAGCTGTTCGTTTACACGAATCTCACCTATAAGTAACAGAGGTGACCGATGCAATATCATTTCTGTCTGAGATTCTAAAAGGATTAGTTATCGAGATTGGAAATGGCAAATACTTAAAAAAAAGAGACTCGAACAGTTCTAAAGTCTTTCTAAGAGACTTCAATCAGCTTTAAGAGATTTATTAAAGTACACGAAGACTCATCATCATAACTCATTCTATTATCTAACGTAAAGACTGTGACGCGTTAATGTAAGTCAGACAAAGCTTGATAGTGAGAATCTGAATACGAAAAAAGTATAATATTTTTCG